TTTTTAAGATTTTTATTTATTTATTTGAGAGAGAGAGTGAGCATGAGTAGGGTGGAGGGGCAGAGGGAGAGAATCTCAAGCAGATTCCCCACTGAGCACGGAACCCCCATGCAGGGTTCCACCCCAAGACCCCAAGATCATGACCTGAGCCGAAGTCGGACGCTTCACTGACTGAGACACCTAGGTGCCTTGCAATGTTTTCATTTTTTAAGAAGGCAAAGAAAATGGTATGGCTTTTTACAATTTGTCTTTTATAGCTCTTGCCAGATGTTCAGGCTCTGTTGCTCTCTTCCAGCCCTGACCAATCACGAAGCACCCCCCCCCTTCCACACTCCTTTCCACCCAACCCACAGCTGGAGCCACACCCCATCCCCCAGGACCCATGCTAGTCCTGCTGCTTTTTTCAGATTAGAGTAATTCTTTAGAATATTTCTTTTTTCTCCCCTTTAAAGGATTCAGAGTTTGGGTAAGTTTGGGCAAAACTGTATACATCTTTCTTTTAGAGACTTACAATTAATGTTAGTATTTTAAAGACTGAGAAAAACTACAGTAAATGAATATTTGTTTAATCCAAGAAAGCCTTTTTTTTTTTTTTTAAGATTTTATTTATTTATTTGACAGAGACACAGCAAGAGAGGGAACACCAGCAGGGGGAGTGGGAGAGGGAGAACAGGCATCCCGCCCAGCGGGGAGCCAGATCCGGGGCTCGATCCTAGGACCCTGGGATCATGACTTGAGCCGAAGGCAGACGCTTAACGACTGAGCCACCCAGGCGCCCTCAGAAGCTCTCTTAACAGAAGGATCCCCTACCACTCAACAATCTCCACCACTCCTACCCTCCAACTCCCCCGCCCCCCCCCCAAAAAAACCCTGCTGCTTCTGCACCATCGAGGGCATCGGTCTGTGGTGGTGATTGAAATAATCATTAATCTGGTAAACTACGAGTGAGATTTGCTAATTTCCACGGCTATGGCCTTACCAGAAATGTTCCCTAATGCCATTCCTTCCTTCTACAGTCTACACAGGAAGGTGGGGAAGGAAGGAGCAGAAAAAAAAAAGGATTGATTTCCCACTATGACTGCCAAAGTCAAGTGCCTGGAATTTTCCAAAGCCTCTGAGGCTGAGCAGTGGATGCAGTTTCTTATGGAATGGATGAGCTATTGCTGTATTTTATTTAGGTCTTTTCAAGCATTGTCCTTTATCAGGCCCGGCATCAGCCCGCATTGATGAGAATGACAGACAGCACAGTAAAAGCTATGGCTCCCTGAACCTCTGGTCTGAGCTACACTTTCATACCTAACATTCTTGCCATCAATCCTCCCTCCCTCCCACTAGCCATCTTGCAGCCCAGTGACAGATTAATCCTTCTAAAGTACTGATTTAACTTCATCACTGCCTCCCTCAATGACTATGCCTTTTTTTTAACTGCCATTTTTATTATGTACGCTTATATTAATTGTCATGGATTGACATATGTGATATGATATTTCTCATAAAAAAGCAGTTTACAAAGTTGTAAGTAGGATATAATCTCATTTCTGTTCTTAGATATAGCTACATTTGCATAGTAAAATATCTAAAAAAACATATATTCAAATGGAAATAGTGCTTATCCATGAGTAATAGACTTTTAAGTGTTTCTAGTGATTTTTTTCTTTCCCAAAAACCTTTGCTTGATCACTCCAGATCTTCACAACCTGTCAAGTGACTACATACATTTTCAGTCTTTGCTCTCGCCACTCTGCAGAGCTACCTCCACTCACTCAAACTGGGAGAGACAGTGGTCCTAGAACTTACTTTGCACTCCCTCCCCTGCCCCCCAAATGTCCACAGCACCCTGCTTGTCAAAATCCTGTCCAGCTTCTCAAGCCTGGTTCACATCTTCCCCCACGATCCTCCCCAATGGTCCAGTTAGAAGGAGGCATAAGACTTTGCATGAGAATTCTTTTCTCATATGAGTGTTTATGGTCAGGGTTACTCTATACATGCCTGAATGACGTCCATACCCCTAAGAAAGGCAGATGGGGTGGGGGCAGAAAGGCTGACTTACTTGCCTGTTCATTCAGAGGCAAGGAATATAAAGTATTCAGAAGGAAGGAATGAGGGAATGGCCAGGGGAGTAAATTCCCTTGGAGACCGCTCAAGGTGAGGGTGAGCAGTGCACAACTTTCTATGCACAAGGACTGGTGGAGGGAAAATAAAAATATGTATGGGCTGCACTTTTTTAAAATTTATTTTTTTAAGTAATCTCTATACAGACTGTGGGACTTGAACTCACAAACCCGAGATCGAGAGTTGCATGCTCTACCAACTGAACCAGCGAGGTGCCCATCTTTTTTTTTTTTTTTTTTTAATCTATAAAAGAAAAAACCTTGATTGGGCTCCAAGGGAAAAGAATTCAACTTTGGTTGACTAAAAATGTCAATGAAGAAAACTGACCTGCATTCTCATCACTAAAATGGTATATATATTTCAAACATAGCAATATGAAGGCAAATTTCTGTATTTTCACCTTAAGTTATGTTGACACTTGGCAGCCACATGAGACCTATGGGCCAGGGCTGCTCATCACTGGTATAACCTCAGAATCTGAGTCTAGAGACAAACTGCCTGAGAGACTATGCCCTAAGAAGCTCTAGAAATGTGAATACTGGGATTCTCCTCTGGCCTCAGACAACCTGAGGCCTTGTTTTAGCTGAGATCCTTCTATGTTAACACAGCAGATTCCCTTGAGTCCTAGGACTCCGTTATTTGTCTTCTCTCATCAACTAGCCTCCCTTGAGGTAAAGTACTGTGTCTTACACTCTTTTCCTCCTTTTCTGATGAGGGCCCCACATGGTGCCCTTTGTGGGTCATCAGGAAATTCCTGTTTATGTTGATAGTGATGAAGAAATAGCTTGAGAGAAAGTGACTTCACCCATGTGTGTTGGATTTTTATTTTCTTTAAAATAGCACACCTACGGGGCGCCTGGGTGGCTCAGTTGGTTAAGCGACTGCCTTCGGCTCAGGTCATGATCCTGGAGTCCCGGGATCGAGTCCC